AAACAGACACAGGTTGTTAATGCACATCAGTACACTTGTGCGTTTCCTGTCAGCCAACGGGGAAAAAAATTCCTTGACTTTGGTTTTGACTCCTGTCGGATAGATGCTGCATTGCTCTGCTTCCTTTTTAGCTCTAGTCTAGTTGTGCTTACTCTCCTTGCATCCTTCATCTATCACTTCCTAAGGTCACACCTCACCTATACCTATTACCTCTTCCTGGCCTTTCTCTATGATAATAAGAGGAGGAAGAAAGGTATTCCTCACAGCTACGATGCCTTTGTCTCCTACAATGTTCATGATGAAGCTTGGGTCTGTGGAGAGTTGCTTCCAGAGCTGGAGGGTCAACAGGGCTGGAGACTCTGTCTGCACCACAGAGACTTTGAACCAGGTATATATGATTATCATTAGCCTCTTTTTTTCTATTTTTCTATTTTTAGATCTATATTTAATGGAGCTACCACACAAACGCTGTCTCATCTTTCCTTTAAACACTATTGTTGCCACTCTAAACTTGTAATGACAAAGATCAGGGTTTCACACCACCGATTTTTGTTTTGTTTTGTTCAAAATTTTACTACACTACGTTTACGCAAACACAAATGGTTGATATGATGTCAAACAAGAATACCAATCACACATGACCCACAAAACAAAGTTTAAATGCTAGACTGACTATCTGGACAAGAGCTACAAACTGATCTTTAAACCTCTAAAATTAAACTTTAGATGTGCTGCTCAACTGTCAAAGCATCCTACATGTAGGAAAAGGAAATCATGAAGTTGAGTTTTGCGTAAAAGAAAATAGAAAGACAGCTGTTTTTGTACTCCCGATGTTTTTGTAAGCCTTGGATTCCAGAAATTATAAAAATTACAGTTAAGACCAACACCAGTTATTACTCCAGAAGCTTATTGAATTGTTCTTTGTTCTCCAAAGGCTGTGACTGGAATTTAGACACTACTGTAGATCCTGCTATTCTCAAAAGTGAGATTTTTTTAACTTATAGAAAAGGCTACACATTATGTTATTCACCAGAGCTGTTTTAACTAGAAAAGGTTAAAACTTGAAAAATGCTGACATGTTTGATGTGTGAGATTTTTGTTTAACGTCTCAGATTTTTGTTTTTACAGGTAAGCCCATTGTCGAAAACATTACAGATGCCATCTATAGCAGCAGAAAGACTATCTGTGTGATCAGCCCAAATTACCTGCAGAGTGAGTGGTGCTCCAAAGAAATCCAGATGGCCAGGTATGGTTACCAACTCTTTGTCCTTACATGTAATGACATCGCCAGCTTCTACACTGATTAATCTGCGTGTGATGTCTTCAGCTACCGTCTGTTCGATGAGCACAAGGATGTGCTGATCATGGTGTTTCTGGAGGACATACCAGCCAAGCAGCTGTCTCCATACTTCCAAATAAGGATTCTGGTGAAGAGGAGCTCTTACTTGAGCTGGCCACAGGATGGTCAACACACTGGAGTCTTCTGGCAGAAAATACGACAAGCTCTCGAGAGAGAAGAAAACGCTGCTGACCACACTGGACAGCCCATAGTCATCCACTGAAGTTTACCTGAGGTGGAAAAATCATTGTTTGTTTGTAAAAAGCAGATATAATTATTGCAAATGAGAATAAATGAGGGTATGCTTTACAGTGAGACTGACAAGTTGCTCTTCTTATCCTTTTGTATTCGAAGGAGCTTGGGAAAGAAAGCGTCTGGACTTCAAGTTGCTTGAAGATGTTTCACCTCTCATCTGAGAAGCTTCTTAAGTTCTATGGTCAAATGGTGGAGAGTCACAGATTTAAGCCCTGTGGGAGTGTCCCTCCGAGAGGGACAATGGACCCTCTAATGACCTAATCACACAAGCCAAGGTGTGAAAAAGGGTGTAGGTCACAATCAGCCAAGGTTTTGGGTGAGCTCATTGTGAAACCTAGCCCCACCCTATCATGTG